CCCAACACTCTAGTAACACCATTCCTAACATCAAGCATGGTAGTGGTAGCATCATGCTCTGGGTTGCTTTTCAGCAGGAGGACCTGGAAAGATTATTACCATCAGGGGCAACATGGATGGAGGTTCCAGTCAACCAGAGATCTGCATTTAGGATGAAAATTGTGGTTTCAACAGGACAATGAGCCGAAGCACAGGGCAGAAACTACAAAGGAATGGCTTGGGGAAAAAAGAAGGTTTGTTTTGGAATGGCCAAGTGAAAGCCCAGACTTAAATCCTATTTAAAATCCATGGCATAACCTGAAACTTGCTGTTCACATATCAACCATCTAATTTAGTACAGTTGGAGAAAATATGCATTGAATAATGGGAGAAAATGTGAAAATCAGAATGTGCAAAGCTCATTGAGACAACAGAGACAACGCAAAGTTTTTGGCTAAAGGACAGTTCACCAAGTATTAAATGTCAATTAATCTGTGTGTGTGTGTGTGTGTGTGTGTGTGTACGTACATACCCTCACCATCCACTTCATTAGGAACATCTGTGCATGTGTGCAGTTATCTAAACAGCCAACCATGTGGCAACAGCACAATGCAAAAAAAGTTTGCAGTTTCAGTTATGCAGTTACAGGTCAAGAGCTGCAGTTAATGTTCACATCAAAAGTCAGAATGAAGAAGGAAAAATCTGATCTCTGTGACATTAACAGTGGCATGGATATTTGTGTCAGATATGCTGGTTTGTGTATTACAGAAACTGCTGGGATTTTCTCACACAGCAGTCTCTAGATATGCCTTGTTGAGAGGTATGAGGAAAATGGCCAGATTGGTTTAAGCTGCCAGGAAGTATATAGTAACTCAAATAATCACTCTTTACAACCGTGGTGAGCAGAAAAGCATCTCAGCATGCACAAAACATGGAACTTTGAGGTGGATGAGCTACAAGAGCAGAAGACTACATCAAGTTCCACTCCTGTTAGCCAAGAACAAGAATCAAAGGCTATCATGAGCATATGCTCACTCAAACTGGACAGACAAAATCACCTAGTCTTTTTCCAGTGTTCTACTGTCAACTTTCGGTGAGTCTGTGCCCATGATAGCCTCAGATTACTATAGACGTCCTTTCAGATCAAACCAATCTGGTCATTATCTTCTGATCTCTCTCATCAACAAGGTGTTTCAGCCTGCAGACCCTGTTTCGGCCTGTTTGATCAGCAGCCCATCTATAGTTAATATTAGCTATATTATTTATATTATGTCTGGTTATTTATATATATTAAGTTTAGATGTAAGCCTGTACATACTTCTTACAGATGACAGCAGAACTGTTAACCAGCTGGATGACTTCATGGAGTGTCTCTCCAAATTCACACGTTACAACTCTGTACGCCCTCTGGCCACTCTGTCTTATGCAAGCGACCTCTACAATGGTTCTAGTATTGTATCTAGGTAAGTATTTCTTCATATGCACTACTTCAGAATATAGAATGTATTTGTTTCAGAACATTTTTGGTCATTATGTATTAAAATCATCATGTATTATTGGTTTTTTTTTTGGCCAGTGTTGATAGTAACTATTACAGGTAAGTATTTAGCAGCCAGAGTGAAACTTGAGTTCCTTCTACAATAATTAGTGCCCCTCAAGAGAATAATAGTATAAAATAAATTAGACACAATGATTAAAATATTCCACCTACCCTATTGGAGAAAACACTTACTTCTTTTGTAACAAATCATATTCATACAGCTGAGGCCAAAAGTTTACATACACCTAGGCTAAAGATATTCAGTCTGGGTCCCCCCCCCCCCTTCTTGGTGTGGGGGAGTGTAAAGGAAGACTTAGGAATTTAGTGGCACTACGGGCTCATGTCTAATTAGTCTGCACTAATTCAGTGCACTTTCAACCAACTCAACAATATCAAAACACTCAACGGAAACTGGTCTGTTGCGGCTTCGCAGCTTTCCCTCCGTTAAGTTAAAGTTCACGCTGTGTGTGTGTCTTGGAAGCTCCACCGGCACTCTTGCACTCTCTTTTCTCTGTTGTTGGTTACTGGAGTCACTGAAAGTGCAAAGAGACAAAGAGAGAGTGAAATAAGACACAGGTGAGAATCATCACGGGTTACCTGCCATTCGACCCGCCTCCACTCCGTCCACAGCTGACGCTCGACCACGCCCCAGTTGCCACATACCCCCTCATCATGACTCAGGCCAGGGAGCCTGAGCTCCTGACGGGAGAGGTAATTCGCTACCACCATCTTCGCCCCTGGTCCGTGGACCACCTTAAATTTGAACGCCTGAAGTGCCAGATACCAACGAGTGATCTGCGCGTTGGCATCCTTCATGAAATGGAGCCATTGGAGCGGTGCATAATCGGAACAGTCGGAGAAAGCGTGCCCCAGCAGGTAGTACCGGAGGGTGAGGACCACCCACTTATACCGGCTGATGTACAGCACAGGGCACTCCTCCCCCCTCCACCATCTGGGACAAACTGGCCCTCAGCCCTCTCTCTGATGCATCAGTCTCCAAAACAAAAGGGAGAGAAAAGTCAGGTGAACACAACAGTGGGCTCCCACACAAAACTGCTTTTACCTGGCAGAAAGCCCGCTCGCATGGCTCCATCCACTGTAGCCAGCCAGCCCCAAGAACTGCCATCCCACTGTGACCCCATTTCTGGTCTTGGGTCTCGGGCAGGCTGCAATTGCTGCTGTCTATCAATTTGCACCTGCCCATGGCCCAAGTGGAAGCCCAGATACTGTACTTCCACCTGCCCAATCGCACACTTCTTCAGGTTCGCTGTGAGTCCTGCTCATCTCAACGATCTCAGGATAGCCCTCAGATGTTGTAAATGCTGCTATAAATTGTAAATTGTTATAAATGATTGTCATCTAAATAGGCAGCAGCATATGCATTGTGCAGGCAGAGGATTCTGTCCATGAGATGTTGAAATGTTGCTAGGGCTCCAGACAACCCAAAGGGAAGGGTAACAAACTGGTGTAACCCAAACGAGAGTGGAAAAGGCCATTTTGTCTCTGGATATTGGAGTCAAGGGAATCTGCCCTTGATTAAGATCAGTGTTGAATAAAAACGAGCCACGCCTAACCAATCGAGCAGTTCATCAGCACAAGGCATCAGATATGTGTCAAATTTAGACACCGTTTTGACTTGAAGTCCACACAAAAACAGACCGACCTATTGGTCTTGGGCACCAACATCGCCTGGCTGCTCCATTCACTGTGGGACTTCTCGATTACTTCCATGTCAAGCATAGCCTTGAGTTCATCCTGCACCACTTTTTTTTTTTTTGTGTGTGTGTGTGTGTGTGTGTGTTCAGGTAATCGATATGGGCAGCTGCGCACAACCACAACTGTTGGTGCCTCAGTGTGGTGCTCTATGCAACTGGGTAGAGGTAAAAAAAAAATAATTCTCTTGCAACCTGGCAGCCTGTGCTCACTGGGACGGTGGGTCCCTCTCGGTAACCACCGTCGCCAGAGCCACAGGAACTGCCTCTCTCCATGGTTTCAGGAGATGGTGATATATTTGCAATGCATATATAGTCGACCTGCCACTGTGAGTAATGTAGAGCTCGACTTGGGTAGCAAAACCAGCACTTTATCTCCCGGCGCAAATTCCCATGGCCAAGTACCCTGTCATACACCCAGGATTGACATTCTTGTGCCTGTAGCAAATTCTTCTGTGTTAATTGCCCCAATGTGTGGAGTTTTGCTCTCAGGTTAAGAGCGTACTGAATTAAATTTTTGCGGTTAGAAGGTCCCTCCTCCCAATTTTCCCTAATGATGTCTAAGATGCCACGAGGCTTGCACTTGTACCTTAATTCAAATGAACATCATGGAGGCTTGTGGGACCTATCGTACAGAGGCTCGAGCCACGTATCCAGTTCTGCGAATCATCCCAATTCCTTGCATCATCGTGAGTGAACTTACGAATCTTTTTTTAAGCGTCTGAATAAACTGTTCCACCAGGCCATCTGTTTACATATGGTTGATACTGATGCAAATCTGTTTAATCCCTAATAATTCGTTGAGCTCATGTAGTACTTTGGTTAGTCAGGATCTCTTTCAGGATCCTGACTTGGGAGATAACACGCTGCACACATTCCACACCGTGCCTCGCAGGACCCTTCCACAAACATTTCCCGCACTAATGCCTGAAACTCTAGCCAGTTTGTCCCAAGAACACAGACCTCACATTCACCAGTTGTGCATTCCCCAATGCCCCACATTTGAATCAGGCTTTGATGGTCAGTGATATGGTTACACCCCACCAAGGCCCCCTTGTGTACTTAATGACACTCGGTACATTCCTGCTCAATCGGGGAGGCTTGTGGCACGTCAGAGATCCAGATAAGTATTCCAGCTTCCATGAAGGAACACTGATCCTGGAAATGCTCTGCCTGCAGACCTGCCCGGGCTTTGCCCTGGTCCTGGTAGGTGTGGAAGGTTCTACATGTGCAGAGAGAGAGAGACAGTGTTAGAGGGGACATCAGAAGTGTGGGAGCAGGGGAGGAATAACGGGGAGGAAACTGGGTTCTGGGGGCTGGTTTTGGGGCCCCCGCACCTCGGCTCTGCAGAGCGGGGACCGGGAGAGGAGTAGGAGAGAGCGAGGAAAATGAGAGACACCTGGACCAGTGGTTGCATTACCTGCTGGTTCGACCCACCTCCTCTCCATCCACAGTTGACGCTCGTCCATGCCCCCGCCGCCACAGGTACCTACTTTATTCACATCAGAAGTAATTTTGAAACATTTGATTAGAGACAGATTTATTTCAGCTTTAATTCACTATATCAGAATTCGAGTAGGTCAAAAGTTTACATACACTGTCTCTGTCTGTGATTTTAAAAGGGCCAACCATTACAGCTAGTGCCTTTTTACCCTTGATACCATGGGAAAATCCAAGCAACTAAGCAAGACTTTAGAAAAATCTGTGGACATCCACAGGCCCGGCTCCTCCTTTTTCAGGTTCCTCCAATTTACAAACAATTGGGGGGCAGTCTTGGCCTAATGGTTAGAGAGTCGGACTTGTAACCTGAAGGTTGCCGGTTCGAGTCTCAGGTCCGGCATTGATTATAGGTGGGGAGTGAATGACCAGCACTCTCTTCCAACCTCAATACCATGACTGAGGTGAGACCCTTGAGCAAGGTACTGCTCCCCAGACACCACAGCAAAAAAGGCTGCCCGCTGCTCCGGGTGTGTGTTCACTACTGTGTGTGTGCACTTGGATGGGTTAAATGCAGAGCAATAATTCCGAGTATGGGTCATCATACTTGGCCACACGCCACTTCACTTCACAACTGAAGTTTACCATGAGCATCTCTACAAACAATTGTATGCAAATATGGAAAAATTTGGGATCAGCATCATTTAGGAAATTAACTTGGAGAAATTAAACAAAAGACAACAACAAAGGAACTGGTGAAATATTTGGAGGCATCAGGTGCCAGTATGTACAGCCACCATTAAGAGAGTCTTCTGTGATCAAGACCTGCATAAAAAAAAGCCAGACTGATGTTTGCAGGTGGTCACCAGGACAAAGATCTAGCTTTTTGGTGGAGTGTTTGGCCATAATCAGTTCTGTGTATGGGGGGAAAGGGGTGAGGATTTAATTCAGAGAACACCATCCCAACTGTGAAACATTGGGGTGGCAGCATCATGTTGTGTGGGTGTTTTGCTGGAAAAGGGACTGGTGCACTTCAGAAAATAGATGGCATCAGGAAGGAGGATTATGTAATAATATTGAAGCAAAAAAAAGGACATCAGTCAGAAAGTTAAAACTTGGTCCCAGCTGGGTCTTCGAGCAGGACAATGTTCCTAAACATACCTCCAAAATTGTTACAAAATGGTTTAAAGACAACAAAGTGAAAATGTCGGAGCAGCCATTACAAAGCCCTGAAGAAAGCAAGAATTTCAGCAAACTATTGTGAGAAGCTTGTGGAAGACAACCCAAGAGTTAAGCAATTAAAAAAGGCAATGTTTCCAAATGCTAACAAAGCATATGTAAACTTTTGAAGCACTGAAAATCTGATATAGTGTATGTAAAAGCTGAAATAAATCTGTCTCTTAGATATTATTTTGAAATTACCTCTTATGCAAATAAAGTAGATACTCTAATTCACATAACACAGGACATTTATAGTAAGATGAAATGTATGGAGTTGTGAAAAAATTGAGTTTGAATGTCTTTAGCCTAGGTGTACATAAACTTGAGGCCTCAGCTGTATATAGATTGCATTTTTTTTCTTTAAAATGCTCCCAGTCTCTGGCAACTCCAGTTTTATACAGTTTAGTTAATTCTTGGTTGCAAATTGTCAGGTTTCAAAATCAATGACTGCCCCAGGCTTTTTATACCTAAGTGAGTAACCAAATGTTAACAGGATAGTCTTTCTTCTTTTTGTTAACAAATCATGAAAACCCTCTTAATGTGTGTGTACATTATGTATTTGTTTATATTTTTGTGGAATGGCATCAACTGAATTTAGTAGGAGAGAAGATATTAAGACACTGATTCACACTTAGGGCTAGTTTAGAGCAGCCAAGTCAACCTACCAGCATGTTCTTGGGAGGTGGGAGGAGACCACATAACCCAGAGGAGACCCTCACAGACACGGAGAGAACACAAGACAGTAACCTGAGCTCAGGACTGCACGTCCTTAGAGAAAACTCTTTCACAACAGTAACAGAATGACTTCTTAACAACATCTTAATCTTAATTGAGACATGGCAATTAGTAATCATAAAAGCATCAAAGAAAACTCTGTTAAATGCTACATTAAATAATGTGCAAAAGAACATGAATCAAGATCTCTCATTCTCTACAACATGGATAATTGAAAAGGGTTTAACTCAGTGAGCAAATAAAGGCAGTGAGCAAATAAAGAAGCTTGAATTACACTTTAAGCCTTGTAGCATCTTAACACTTAACATTTCTTTACAGCATTGAGTTTGACCGTGACTGTGATTATTTCGCCATTGCCGGTGTCACCAAGAAAATTAAAGTTTTTGAGTATGGAACAGTGATCCAGGATGCTGTGGACATTCATTATCCTGTCAATGAAATGACATGCAACTCCAAAATAAGGTGCAACAATTCTCTTGGTTCACATAAAGATACTTCAAGTACAGTGTCAAAACATAATTGATGGAAATCCATCACTCTCTCTCTCTCTCCTCTCTTTCCTCAGCTGTATCAGCTGGAGTAGCTACCACAAGAACCTGTTGGCGAGCAGTGACTATGAGGGAACAGTGATTCTTTGGGATGGGTTTACGGGGCAGAGGTCAAAGGTTTATCAGGTGCATTGCCAACATAAATAAAATATTCTGTATGCTCTGATGGTCAGCAGTTTTGATGCTTTGATCATAGTGGATAGTCACTGTAGTGATAGTGTAGTGTCGATTTTGGAATTGTTCCAAACAGGATCAAGGTCACAGCAGGGACAAATGTCTTAAATATTTTTTCTTCAGTAGCTTCCATCCTGTTTGAAGTATATTTTAAGGATATTTCTGGCATAACAATTAGTAACAAGAAGGACTAAACTTGTGACAGAGGCATCTCCATAAATTTTACTCTGGTGTAGGGTTCTATGTGTTTAAAGGTATATTTCTTTTTTTAAGCTAGTGTAGTACAACCATAGTACAACATAGCGCTTATACTATAACCATAATGACATACCATCTTACCAATACATCGTACTTTCTTTAATCACAGTACTTTTTTTTTTTTTTTTCTTCCTTGTGTACATAAAACACATCTAATTTAATTCTTTTGGACATTTTTTCTAGGAGCATGAGAAGAGATGTTGGAGTGTTGATTTCAACCTTATGGATCCCAAACTTTTGGCTTCAGGCTCAGATGATGCAAAAGGTATGTAATTGATAATTCAATTAATAATGCACGTAGCTCAAGAAAAGATTAAAAGCTTTGTTGCTTTACTGCTGTTGAATGAGTAATCCATACTCTCTTAATACTTTTTTTTTATTTTATATTATTTATTTTTATTTTTTTACTTCCTTTCAGTCAAGCTGTGGTCCACTAATCTGGATAACTCAGTTGCCAGCATTGAAGCCAAGGCCAATGTGTGCTGTGTCAAATTCAGCCCAACATCTAGGTATCACCTTGCATTTGGATGCGCAGGTATATATTCATTTGGATGTTCAGTGCTACCTAGAGATGCACAATGCCTCTTGTTCCTTTTTAGTACCAATTCTGATCTGATCTAAGTACTAAGCAACAAAATGAGTGATTTTTAATTGGATTTGAAGATACTCAGACTGCTAAAGCACTGTATTACCCTACAGATGACATACATATTAATGACATTTTGTCAACAAAACCGCACCTTTTGTATTCATATAAACTCTTAAATTATATACAGTTAGGTCCGGATGTATTTGGACAATGACAGAGTTTTTGTGATTGTGCCTTTATACACCACCACAATGGATTTAAAATAAAACAATCAAGATGTGATCGAAGTGTAGACTTTCAGCTTTATTTTAAGAGGTTCCACAAAAATATGGCATTTACCATTTAGGAATTACAGCCATTTTCAACAAAGTACCTCCATTTTCAGGGGCTCAAAGGTATTTGGACAAAGTGACATAACTGTAAATATAACCATAATTTTAATACTTGGATGAAAATCCT